CGCACACTAATTATCTTGTGCTACAACATGCCTAGAATTCAAGGTTCTCTCGAATTGTCAGATTTTGTTAGAGGAAGGATAGTTAGTCAAGCAGATTGTGGAATAAGTCAGCGGCAAATTTCGCAGAATTTGGGAATCCAGCTTTCGACAGTCAACAGAATCATCGTGCAGTTCAGGAAACACGGCAAGGAAACAACTGAGCAGCGTCCGGGTCGTCCTGGTCCATCGGAGAGGACAAAAAGCGCTGTCAAGAGGAGCATCGAAATGGATCCCAGATTAATGACAGCAGAAGTGGCCAAAGTTGGTGGGATGAACCCGAAATCTGTTCAACGGATTCTCCACAGATTGAGTTATCGTTGCAGAGCAGCTAGACGAAAGCCCTTATTAAGACCTGCCAACATAGTCAGACGAAAGAAGTGGGCAAGTGATATGATGACCAAGCCTCTGGACTTTTGGAAGCCCGTATTGTTCTCAGACGAATTAAGATTCGCTCAATTTTCGGACAGTGGAAGGATATGGCTCGATCTCCCACCAACCCAAACAGCTCCCCAAACCACCATGCTTCACAGTTGGCTGCAATCTGTTGAGCCAAAACTCTTGGTGAGGCATTCTCCAAACCCTGAGTGGAGTGTGTTGGCAACATACATTTTGCAAAATACGTCGAAATATTAGAGGAAGGACTCTTGCCACTTTATTCCTCGGGTTTCGTGGACAAGAACACAACATTGTTCCAAGAAGATGGAGCACCGTGTCACACTGCTAGAAACACCCAAAAGTGACAGGAAGAAAATGGTATCCAGAAATTGCCCTGGCCGAGCCAGTCTCCTGACATGAACCCCATCGAAAACTTTTGGGCCATACTCGACCAGCAAGTCAAGAAACAAAAAAAAAAAACCAACTTCGAAGAGCGATCTACTACAAGTTTTCAAGCAAGAGTGGGCGAAAATCTCACAATCTAAAATTAACGAGATGATTCTCACAATGCCCCAAAGGTTCAACGAACTCCACGAAGTGAAAGGAAGATCAACTAGATATTAATTAAATTATAAATATATCAATTCATGTGAATATGACTGAAAATTTTAATTTTTTTCTGAAAAGGTGGTGTCTATTTATTTGTGACCACGCTGTGTATACCTGGTTCCATTTCACCATCATCAACTCCTTCAGTCACATTGACTTCAGCTTGATGACACCTGGTTAGCTCAACCTCTCTTTTGCAGCAATGTCTGTAGCCATTTTTGCAGGGTCTTCGGCTCAGTCCATCAGCATTTCCATCAGATTTTCCTTCTCTGTATAATTTATCATAATTACATTGGTTCATATTTCCGATCCAATGTGGCAGTTGTCCCTCTGGGTTCTTTAATGATCTTAACCAGCATAATGCAGCATCGTCTGTCCTGATGGTAAATCTGTCCCCATAGAGGTAAGGATGGAAATATGTCAGACTCTTTACTATAGCAGGGAGTTCCCTCCGTGTTACATAGTAGTTCCACTCTGGTCTACTCAAAACCCTACTGAAGTAGGCCACCACATGTTCGTTTTCGCCCACTTTCTGAGACAACCCTCCTCCAATTCCAACATTACTAGCATCACAATCCAGTATGTATGGCAGTGATGGATTTGGAAGCTTTAAAAGTGGGGCTGAGGCGAATATTTCTTTCAATGTCTTGAAAGCATGCTGGCAATAAACTGTCCATTCAAACTTCGGGACCTTTTTGGTCAAATCATGTAGTGGAGCTGCTATATTTGCAAAGTCCTTCATAAACTTCCGGTAATAGGTACAGAGTCCCAAGAAACTTTTCAACTCTCCCACATTGTCTGGTGTTGGCCAATTATGTACTTCTTTCACTTTGTGAGGATCAGTTCACACACCATACTCACTTAAAATGTGACCCAAGTAAAGTACCTCTTTCTGGAACAAGTGGCATTTCTTGGGATGGAGTTTGAGGTTTGCTGCTCTCAAATGCTTGAATG